GTTCATCACCATTTCATGCTAGAGTCCTGAGCTGGCTCCATGGGTACTGAGTGCTTGGGTATGTAGGACACCCCAACCTCATGACTCCTCAGGAGATGGGCTTTGGCAGCTGTAGTTTCTCAATGGGCTGAGCCATGTATCACTGGAGGCATGGGTGTACAGGAGCCTGGTTAACCAAACACTTGTGGGACAAGGCGGAGTTTCTGTCTGGATCGCAGATGGGAGCATTCCCCAGTGGTTACAGCCAGGCTGTCTGCATCCAAAGTATGAGGACTCAGCTGGGCCGTCTGGTCTCCAACCTGGACCAGTAACTTCTTCATCCAGTGATGTGACTGTCCTAAAGTGGAGCATACACAGTTTGGACAGTTGTAAAGTTACCACCTCAGTTGACATGTGCAGATGTTCAGGTCTTACAAAGAGGTGAGTATTCAAGAAATTAGCTTAGTGGAAAGAGAGACAAAGAGGTGTTCTGTAAAGGGATGGATGGTGGTGGGAGTGAAGCAGATATTGAGAGATTGTGCTCCTGAGGACTAGCTTGTTTGTTTCCATTTCTTTCCTCCTCCGCTTCTGCTTGAGTTTTCTGGTTTTAGAGCTGTGGAGGATAAGTCAAAGTAGATTAACAGCCAATTTAGCTTTTACTGGGAAAATAATGTTGTTGATAAGTGTTGTTGAGTCAGAACCTACCACAACTGACCCTCCAGCAGGTTTTTAGAGGTAAATCATACAGGAAGAAATTGCCTATCTTTCTCCCTCAGAACAGCTGGAGGATTTGAATCTTTAAGGTGACAGCACAACTCCTCAGGTCACCAGAGCTCTCAAACTTGGAACATTAGAAGGAACATTTTTGTAAATTAAGGAGAGTGGATCACAACAAATTGTGGTAACCTTGAGAATGGGAATCCCAGAACAGCTGATTGTCCTTATGCAAAAACTATGCTTGGACAAGGAGGCAGTTGTCAGAACAGAGCAAGGAGACACTGCATGGTTCAGGATCAGGAAAGGTGTGTATCAGGGATTCATCCTGTCTCCATACTTTTTTAATCTATGTGCAGAACAGATCATTTGGGAGGGTGGGCTTTATGAGGAGGAGTATGGCATCAGAATTGGAGGAAGACTCATCTACAACTTGTGTTATATAGATGACACAACCTTTTTCACTGAAACTGAGCAGAACCTGAAGTATCTACTGTAGAGAGTTAAGGACTGCAGTCTTCAATATAAAAATCCTCACCATTGCACCAAATGATAGCACCATGATAGATGGGGTAGAGATTGAGATTGTCAACAATTTCAGCTTGCTTGGGTCTGCAATCAGCACTCTTCGAACCAGCAGCCTCGAAATCAAAAGATGATTTGGATTGGGAAAGACAGCTGCCAGGGACCTCTCCAGAGTGCTGAAGTGCAAAGATGTCAGTCTAGAGGCTAAGACGCACCTGATTCAGGTCATGGTCTTCACAATTGCTTGCTATGCATCAGAAAGCTGGACAGTGACTAAGGATGACAGAAGAAGAATCAATGCCTTTAAGTTGTGATGCTAGAGAAGAGTATTGAACATACCATGAACCGCCAAGAAAACAAACAGGTCTTAGAGAGGATGAATTCAGGCTGCTCTTTGGAGGCAAGGATTTTGAAGCTCTGTCTCACATACTTTGGGCATGTTGCCAGAAGGGACCAGTTTCTTGGAGAAGGACATCATGGTTGAAGAGTGGAGGGACAATGTAAGAGAGGAAGACTCTGAATGAGATGGACTGACATAGGCACTGGGGTAATAGGGGCAGGTGTGTCCAAGACAGTGAGGTTGGCTCAGGATGGAGCAGGATTCAGAGCTATTTTGTATTGGGTTGCTATGAGTCATAGGCGACTTGACAACACATAACAACAACAACATGGCATTGAGTTTTAGACAGAATCTAGTCAAGTTCTGCCTATAGTTGAGCAATGAAGTAGTCATATTCTAGTGTAATAGGTACTGTTGTTGTGTACCATTGAGTCGAAATCAACTTGTAGCTGATTCTCCAGTAGTGTTTCAGAGACAATTAATCCTGAGAGAGAAGATTGTCTTTCTCTTTTGGAGCAGCTAGTATATTCGAACCATGTGCCTTTTGTTTGGCAGCATTATTTTTTTTTTCCACTAGACCACCAGAGCCCCCCTCATAGGTAGATACTAGAATCATGAATTCCAGCTGCCTGTCTGCTGCCAAATAGATTTCTGAGCTCCTAAGTCTTTATCTTTTAATCCAGAAAATGGCTATGCAAGGTTCTTTCCTATTCTAGAAGCTTGGAAATTGTAAGATGATGTTTTGTTTTGGAAATATTGGAGAGTGCAAAGGTTAATGCCTTTGGCTGCCAAGTTTAGAAGTTCAAGTCCACCTAGAGATGCTTTGGAAAAGACATCCTGGAAATTTGTATTTTTATGAAAATAACACATGCCTTCTATATTTATTTGCCAGCTACTCCTTCTCCCTCAGCAGGTATTTTCATAAGTGCAGCTATGCCAAAATTTTTTTCACACGCTGCTAGAAAAAAAAATAGCATAGAATGTTTGCAAAAATACCTCTTGCAGGGAAGGAGTGGCTAGTAAACAAATATGAAAAACAAATGTTATTTGCAGAAAAATATGGTATTTCAGAAACCTTAGTCATTGGAAAAAAGAAAAAAATCCTCCATAGCAGAGTTCTCTGACACACGTGAAGTTGAACCATGTCAAATTCAACTCCTGGGAAATTGGTGGAGTCGTTTTGTTCCTTATTCATATCTTAAGTCCAACTTAGAGTCTCTTTTATCAGTGAGGAATGCTATCTCTGCTGTTTCTTGTTCCCTAGCTCACAGAAGCCTGTACATCTCTTTACATTTTAGAGGAGAGAGTAATTATGGCTGATTCCTTGAGATGTAGGAAAATTAATTCAAAATTTGGAAAGTTCACAAACTCATCTTCTTCTCAGGGTTGCCTTAAATAATCACTGTTTGTCAACTTTTCTTTCCAGTTTTTGTCCCTACATCAAGAGAGGAACATATGGTAAATGTTCCTGCCAGAGAGAAATGTAGGTTGATAACATTTTCCTGTTTGAGTGGAGAATTTTATCAGCAAGTCTGAGTCCTGTGTGGCTGACCATCTGTGGTGGCAGGAGAGCAGATAGCATGAGATGGGGCAAATGCTAGTGGGGTCTGCATATGACCTACAACTGTGATTTCTTCACCTGTTCATTCTCAAATCCTCTTGAGTCCTTGGGTTTATTTGCTCAACTGGTATCTTAAAGAATTGAAGGTTGTGTCCACTCAGCAGGGCATCAGAAGATAGACCTGGCAATTAAAAAAAAAACCCCAAAAAACCCAGCCACGTAAAACTCTGTGGAATACAGTTCTCCTCTGATACCCCTGCGTCTCCATGAGTTGGATTCCAATGAATAGCAACCAGGTCTTTTAAGTTCTCTTTAGTCTTCTGATTTCACACGGATCTAAGCCCCATTTGCTCTTGAGAAAGAAGCCCAACTACCTGCTGCTGCTACCAGTAACCCCCAGCCCTTGCTTTATTCCATACCTGGCTTTGCATGACTTTAGTTGTTCCTGATGACTGTGAACCTCAAGGCCCAGACTTAGAAGTAGCCAAGAGGCCTAGATGGGGATGTGCACACAGTCCCTGTTTGGGTCTTATGTTGTACAATCTTAGTTTATATCTTGGTTCCTTCTATCTCATAGTTCCTTAGCAAAGATAGAAACCCAATATGTTCATTTTTTAAAAAAGCATATCAGATTTTTCCATTACTTTTAAAATTTCTGAACCATAATTAGCTATTTATGATGCTAATAGCAAAAAAAAAAAAAAGGTTAAAACTCCCAAAGCATGTTTCTTCGCATGGCTTTTCTATGTCAGACTCTTATCCTTGTTCTTTTGAGAAAAACAAATCTCATTTCTTCTACATAAGACTGTTGAGCTGCCGTGTCCAATATTGCTATCATCATCCTCCCTTGATTACTACCATTATTTAATTATTGTTTATGGTGATGCCTATAGCACTTTATAGAGCCATTAAGGTTCTGATTTAAGACCAGACCTGTCCGTTCCGGAAATGTTCAACTTGAGAGCAGGGACAGTGATTTGGACTCTGCAAATGTTTTTCAACCGGGAACTGATACCCCCCAGCCTCTTGGCAGTTGCACCAAGCTCTCACTTGGCCCAGGGGCAGCGAGTAGCTTGCTCTAGGCTCCTAGCATCCCGGCTCTGAAAGGACAAGGTAATTGGAGAGCCCACGGTGGAGCTGTGGGCCCCACAGACTGAGTCAGTAGCACAATGCCAAGTGAGAGGCTGCTTGTTTTCCTGAAGGGAAGCCTACGAGGGTATGAGGACCTTTACCTCTTCCTGGGACATGGGTCCTTGCTGGGTAAGTGGGTGAGGTGTGCACAAGCTACCTTTTGAGTTGCCACATGATACCAGTGAGTTCTAAGAAGGTCCTTTATTAAAAGTAGAAAAGCTATGAGCCGTAAAGACCGTGTTATGGATTGCAAACCCCGGCCCCTGAACAACCTGCTGATTAGCCTTACAATTTCTCCCGAGTTCCAAGGCAGCGGATTGAGGGCGAGGCTGCTGAGCTGCTCGGCACTCTCTGCGTGGCCGTGGGAGGTTTTCAATAGCTGATTTGCCAATTAGTTAATTATCTGAGTCAGAACAGCTGGAAGGTCTTTGAAGTGGTCCTTGGTGTTTTGTGTTGTTTTTTTTTTTGTTTTTGTTTGTTTGGTTTTTTTCTTTCTCTCTACTTCTGGCATATTTCAAAGGGATAGTGGCCATGCTGGGATGGCTTTGCATTTGCTGAGGGGCTGTGTGGGTGAGCTGGGCTTTTGGAGGTCCTAGGGGTGAGAAGGAGTGATGCATTCAGGAGAGGTGGGGATCAGCGATACCCAGTGGGTGCCTTGCTGCTACAGAGCCCCAGGCTGGGCTGACAGGAGTTCCAGGGTTACTTCTTAGCATGATGCATGTCTTCTTTTTCTCCTTCTCCACTCCCAAGGATGTTAACACCGGTGAGGGCAGTGAGTTTGCAGACAGTGGGATCGAAGGTGCCACCACCGACACGGACCTGCTCTCCAGGCGCTCCAATGCCACCACCTCGAGCTACTCGCCCCCCACTGGCCGGGCCTTTGTGGGCAGCGATAGCGGGAGCAGCTCCACCGGGGATGCAGCTCGCCAGGGGGTGTACGAGAACTTCCGGCGGGAGCTGGAGATGAGCACCACCAACAGCGAAAGCCTGGAGGAGGCGGGCTCCGCGCACAGCGACGAGCAGAGCAGCGGCACCCTGAGCTCACCCGGCCAGTCGGACATCCTTCTCACGGCCGCGCAGGGCACCGTGCGCAAGGCGGGCGCCCTGGCCGTCAAGAACTTCCTCGTGCACAAGAAGAACAAGAAGGTGGAGTCGGCCACCCGCAGGAAGTGGAAGCACTACTGGGTGTCCCTGAAAGGTAAAGAAGGGAGGACCGATGCACGTGTGATCACTGTGCACTCAGTGAGGGATGTCAGCTATCACAATCAAGCTGGAGAAGTATGTAAAGCCTGCAGTACTCATTGCCATTGGATCTGTCCCACCTCAAGACAGCCCCAGGTGTGACAGTGTAAAGCTGCTCCATAGGATTTTCCAAGGGTATTGACAGTAGATCACCAGGTGTTTATTCCCCTCCTCAGTGCCTCTGGGTGGGTGGGTGCAGACCTCCAACCTTTTTGGTTAGTGAATATGAGTAGAGACCTTCAATAACGTAACTTCCTGTTCTTGTTGTGTACCATCGAGTCAGAAATGACCCATAACTGACTCTCTAGTGGGTTTTCAGAGACAGTTAATCACCCAGGAGGAGGCTGCCTGTCCTTCTCCCAAAGAGTAGCTGGTGGATTCGAACCTCATGCCTTTGAGATTGCACGGCCGCTTCTTAGCACGAAGCTACCAGAGCTTCCTTGAATGATGTTTAGTAGTTTTCTGTATGTAACTGGTTCTGATGATACTTTTGAAGAGTTCCTTCCTTTCTCTGTCTTTCTGTATCTTTCTCTTTGTGTATCTTAATCATTTAAGTTAGTGAGATAATTAAGTACCACTGAAGGTGACCTTTTTTGAAGAGAGAAAATAATTACTTTGAATATAAAGAAATTTCTCTTTTTAGGTTAAAATTTATAGACTATCTCTGTAATTTCATAAGGTTCAATTTATTGGTTAATTGCATATCTGAACCATCTTAGAGTGTCTAGTGTTGTTGTTGTTATGTACCATTGAGTCAAAACCAACTCATAGCTGGCCCTCAGCTGTTTTCAGATAGTTGTGTGAGAGGAAATTGCACATCCTTCAGCTGAGCTGGTTTGCCACTTCTTGAGTTGGCAGCGATCCTACTTAGAGGCTTGAGGTGGTGCAAATAGTTAATATTCTCAACTGCTAATTGAAAGGTTGAAGATTTGAAATCCACTCAGATGTCAGAGGACTTGAGATGCAACTCTGAAAAATCAATGTTGTAATCATCTATAACAAATACCACAGGAGGAAGGCTTTATCAAGCAGAAATGCATTTTCTCACAGTTTGCAGGGGTGAAAGTATGAACTCTGGGTACTGGCTCAGAGGTTAGGCTTTCTCTCTCTTTTGGCTGTGGAAGAAGGTCCTTGTCTCTTTGAACTTCTGTTTGTGGGAAATCTCAGTGTGGCTTGGCCTCTCTCTTCATCTCTGCTTATTAGCTAATTTGTTTAGTTTCTTTAGTATCTCAAAAAACAGATTGACACAAAATCGACCCTATATTCTTCCTGCCTGTTTAACATAACAAAGGCAGCCTATTCCTATATGGGATTCCTATATAGAGATTAGTAATTACAATACTTAATGTTTGGGCACACGTTTCAATCATAATAGTCAGCTGTTGCAAATCCTGTGGGACACAGCTCTGTTCTGACGCACATGGGTTGCCTTGGATTGGAGCTGATTGATGGCAACTGGAAAAAGCCAGCATATTTGTGGAAAAAAAATCACTGTCATAAATTTTGCATATTTGTACATGTGTGTGTATGTGTATAGATGCATGCATGCATTTTTGTCTCATTAATAACCATAATTCTTTTTTTATGTTGTGATTCATCGTCATTAGATCTCCATTTTTGAAATCTTTGTTTATATTTTTACATGTGTCTTAGTAGTATAGAAATGATCATTTACTTGTAACTCTGTGGTTTAAAAAGAAAAAAAAAAACCATTTTTTTCAAGCAAACTTAGTTTTTGTCACAAGCTAGATTTGAAGCAGGTTGGTGTATTGGCTTGATTAGTAGGAAGGAAGGAAGGGAGGAAGGAGGGAGGGAGGGAGGGGCCTGGGAAGAAGCAGCTTGGGATTGCCAAGTGAGGTGAATGAAAGAGGCCATTTGGTAGTGGATTTTATTAACTGCCAGGCAGTGCATTTATCCAGTCATATAGATTTGGAGCAGCTACAGATGTGTTCAGTGAGGTTAATAAAACGCCTGTGTATAGATGGTCAGGCTAACTTCTTTGTGACAAGAGAACTTGGTGACTTCCTGTCACAGGTGCCAGCTACTACCTTAGTACCTGGGGAATCAAGAAAGGAATGTGTTAAATAGTAGACTCGCATTGACAGTGCCCAAGGCAAAGGAGGACTTTGAGCTGTGGTGCTGGAGAAGAGTATTGAGAATACCATGGACTGCTAGGAAAACAAACAGATTCATCCTGGAAAGGGTTAAACTGGGTGGCTCCTTGGAGGCAAGGATTCCGAGGCTTTGTCTAACATACTTTGGACATGTTGTAAGGAGGGACAGGTCCTTGGAGCGGGACATCATGCTTGGGAGGGTGGAGGGACAGCGCAGGAGGGGAAGGCCCTCTATGAGGTGGATTGATTCAGTGACTGGGGTAATCGGGATGGGTGTGTCAGAGACAGTATGATTGGCACAGGACAGAGCAGAGTTTAGGGCTGTTGTACATAGGGTCGCTGTGAGTCGCAAGCGACTCGACGGCACATAACAACCACCACCACCACCTAACACATGTAGATCATCCAAGGCCAGTGTGGCCACTCTTTGCTGTGATCTCATCCAAGGTCCAGATTCCCTCTATCTTGTTGCTCATTTACCTTCTTTCCCCTCCCCTGCCTCCACTCCTACCCCACCCCTTCCCCCGCCCCCAGGTCAGTATCTGGGAGAAGGATAAGCAATCTCCTCCTGTGCAATTTACTGCATCTAAAAACCTTGTGGAGGGTCAACTATGAATCAGTTCTGACTCAACAACACACAACAACAACATGGCCAAGATTAGCCCCTGAGTGGTGCAGATGGTGATGCATTTAGCTACTAACTGAAAGGTTAATGATTCTGGTCTACCCAGGGGAAGACTTAGTGATCTACTTGTGAGAAAACCAACCATTGAAAATACTGTAGAGCACAAGTCTACTCTTAACAATATGGAGTTGTCAAGAGTAAGAATGGATTTGATGGCAACAGGTTTGGCTGATGGTCAGCATAGCTTGCTGGTCCACATTTGAAGTTGTGGAGAGCAAGCATATCCTCAGCCCTGAAGCTAACCTGGGAGATTGATGAATTGTGTCCGCTTAGAGTCTATTGGCCAGAAATGAGTCAGACCTAGCTGCAAGGGAGGCAGGGTGATTGGGTTACTTCTGGATGACATCTGGGTATTATTGAGAGTTCTATTTCTGTAGGAGAAAAGGAAAATTAAAACTAGTAGCAGTCAACTCTTCACAGAGGACTCTTGGCTGATATTGTGGGCCTTCCGCTACTGCTACATGGCTTGTGTGTCTAATGTTGCTGCATTTTTAGTATGGAATGTTTTCATGTCCAGTTCACATATGCCAGGTTGCTCTATATTCTTGTTCCACCTCCAAGAATGTCTTACAAAGAGTCAGGTCTTTCTCTAATCCTGTTCACATTCTGAATGTCTGTCTCAGTGATTTTTAAGTTCGAACAACATTGGGAATACTTAGGATCATAATATTTTCTGTGGAAAAGCACAAGAAAAAAATGATATAGAACTTTAAATATTATTTTCTATGCTAAATAGAAATATGTGCTGACATTTTTTACATGGGAAGAGAGTAAGAATTTTACATTTTGGATAATTTTTTTCCCCCGTCTGCACACCCACCATATTCTTTCTATGTGAATGAGCTTCTGCATGGTGAGGATGGTGCAGGTCAAGTAGGGTTTTCTTCTTTTACCCGTACTGGGTCCCGTGAGTGAGACCCAACATAATGGCACCTAACAACAATGCGAGTTGGGAAAAGGCTATTTTTTTAATATAATTGACCTACTTGTGAGATCAGGTAGTCATCCTGTGCGAGCGTTTTTGACAACTACTCCTGTTCAATGTGACCTGCCTTGGCTTACCTGGGGATTGCTGGTTGTGTCTGAGAGATCCTGGGTCTTGGCCACCGCTCTGCTTTTGTCAGTGAGATGAGATGAGGGATAAAACCCCTTCCTCTTCCACCAGCCATCTATCTTCCAGCTCTCTTCATCTTCATCTTCATCTTCAGCCTCTGTTCATTGTTGTTGTGTACCGTAGAGTTGGAACAGACCCGTAGCTGACCCTCTGGTGGATTTTCAGAGGCAATAAATTGCATAGGAGGAGATTGCCCATCCTTCTCCCATGGAGCAGCTGGTGACCTCGAACCATGTGCCTTTGAGGTTGAAAGGCAGCTTCTTACCACTAGACCCCTAGAGCTCTCTGCTCATTAGAATATATGTTGTTGTTGTTGTTGTTGTTTTGGAAGCAGGAGTGGCATCCACTTCCTAAACAACATGCCTCTGGAAACTCTATCAACTTTGATAATTGATGATAGTTATAGAAAGGCTTTATCCTTTATTAATTAAAACACCCTCCAGGGGGTTTTCAGAGGCTGTAAATGGCCTGAGAGGAGACCACCCCCCTTCCTTTTGTGGAGCAGTTGGTAGATTCCAACCACCTGGCTTGGGCTGGCAGCACAATTCCTTTACCACGAGGCCACCACAGTGCTGAGGTCTTGGGTTTTTTTTTTTTTTAACATAGATGACTACTATTCAGATCGATTTGCCCACTTCCTGGGGTATCCACTGTCTGCCTTTCTTTCTTCCACTCATTCACTCATTCATTTTTATATATTCTAAATATTTTATTCTTTATTATGTTAATGTGGTTAAATAACACAGACCAAAACATTTGCCAGTTCAGTTAGGTACATTATGTTGCACAATCATCAGTACCATCCTTTTCCAAATTATCCTGCAATCTCATGCTGAGGTTTTTTAAAAAACCTGCTGAGCTGTCCACTTGGACCTCAGTCATCTCTGAGCAATACACTGGGTACTGAGAGCCTTGGTAAAGATTCAGATTCCTGGGTTCACAGCATATGTACCCAGTCAGACGAGGCTTAACTGGATTTGACTGAGGGGCCCTCAATCAGGGATTTCAAAAGACTCTTCCTGGGTATTTTTTTTTTAACCACACTAAATTTGAGGACAGCTGTATAATTAGGTAATTTTTTTTTTTTAACTTGGAACCTAGCAGAGGGCTTTGCTTTGTTTCTGTCATTTCCTTAGAGAATAAGTGACAGAGAGAGCCAGCGTGTGGGCTTTGAGAGCACAGCCCAGGAGCACGTTGGAGGAATGGATCCTTGACTTACATGGTGACCCAGATCTGAGTGACACCATCTGTCAGGATCCAGGCCCAGAACATGGAGCCACTGGGTCCTTTGCTGTTTGTTCCTAATGAGTTCCCATTCTATACTGATGTACTCAGGACTTTGTCCTTGTCACTCAAAAAGCAGGGCTTGCTACTGACTCTTTCTTAGAAACTCTTAGATATTGAAAAATGAAATGCAGAGAATCTGGAAATTGGGCAGAGATTTTTCTAAATTATCTCCCAAATGAGAATATTTTTCTCTTTTTTGTTGTTATGGCAATACATAAACCAAGACATGGACAGCTCTCTTATTTACGACTCAGTGACATTGATGACATTTTTCATATTGTGCCACCATTGTTGTTGTTTACCATAGCGTTGAGTCTGATCCATAGCTGACCCTCCAGCGGGTTTTCAGAGGCAGTTAATCACCCAGGAGGAGACTACCTATCCTTCTTCCACAGAGCAGCTTCTGGCCTCGAACCTCATGCCTTTGGGATTGCCATGCAGCTTCTTGCCACTAGGCCAGCAGAGATTTTTTCCAAAATATTTACCAGCATTAACATTAACTCAGCAGTCTCCTCCCGTGCAGTATACTATCTCGGAAAACCTGCAACGATATTCAAAAACAATAACACCATAAACCCAGTGCCTTCCAAATACAAGCTCCTTTCCCCCTCTTATCCATCCCTGGTAACCACAAGGATCTTTAGTTTCTGCATACTTTCCTTTTTCATCTAGGTGCCATCAATACATGGTTCTTTTGTTCAGCATCATATTATCATGTTGCATCCATGTTGGGGCATGGACCAGAGTGACAGTATTTATTTATTGCTGTATAATATTCCATGGTGTATACCACTTTTTGTTTATTCATGCCTCTGTTAATGAAATTTGTTTGTTTTCCTACAAAGATTTCGTTTAGAATTAGTCTCTGGAGAAACCTTGTAATTGAAGAGTTCCTGTTTATGTTCAAGTGAGGGTGAAGCCGCAGGGTGTTGGGTGTTGGGGGTCTCCTGTTGCTTCATGTTACATCTTAGTCTTAAAATTAAAACAACTTAAAGGGAGCTCTGGTGGCCTAGTGGCAAGAAGCTGCATTGCAATCCCAGAGGTACATGGTTCGAATCCACCAGATGCTTTGCTGGAGAAGGAGGGGCAGTCCTCTCCTGTACCATTCAGATCCAATTTGACGGTATACACACACACACACACCCATAATAATTGGTGATTGAAACAAGTCCTAAAGCTCCTATGGAGGGTTGTAAACAATGTTGGAAATTTTAAAGCCCACAATTTGACAAGATCATAAAATGTTCATCTTGTGCATACATACTTGAGTTTGTGGATACCTCTGGATTTATTAACCACATCCTTCTTTGTCTTCAGTTAATGATGTTAAGGAGTAGTGTCACACCTTTTGTGTTAGAAATCCACTAAGCACTAGTTTAGGGCCCTCTGGTTGCCTTGCCCATAGGTAGTTGCCCTGCTAACATGAAGACATTGCCTCTCTGGCGGTTCGAATCCCTCAGAGAGAGAAAGATAGACAGGGTCAGCTATGAGTCAATTTCAACTCAGCAGCAATGAGTTTAAGATTTTCAGATCACTTGTGCAGAGTTAGTCCATGAATTCTTTAGAGTGAGATTCCTCAACAGCAACTCTGTTGACATTTTCCAAAGAGGTTTTTGTTAAGATTTCCTGGACGTAGTAGTGCCTTTAGAATCATTCTGATCCGTGGCCTCTACCCATTGGGTGCTAGTAGATCCTCTCTTTCTATGGAGTTATGACAAATATCCCCTTGGGGGAAAATGACTCCACACTGTAGAATCACTTATTCAGAAGAAAATATAGTCTCCCTTTGATTTCTGTCTTCTTCCTTTTCTCCTACTCCCTTCACCCACTTCCTCAGTTTCTCCTTTTGAGCTTTAGACATGGAAATAAGTGATCCTCAGCTGAGATCCTCTCATGTCATAGATCTGTTCCTGAGCAACTTTGGAATCTTTAAAATAAGATGGGTTATTTGTTAAGAATTTTATGCAATTGAAAATATGTGTGCAACTTTTAAACGGATAACTAAAATAAACAGTAATAACCCTGCTAAAATATTTGAATAGTTAAAAAGACATCTTAATTTGTAACAGTAAGGACACACTACAGAGAACAGATTTTTTAAAAAATTTAAAAGCAAACGGTAGTTTGATGAACATGGGGGGGGGCGCGTGGCAGGAAGAATTACAGCTCCTGTGAAGCCAAGGACAAAAATAAAATCTTTAGCTCTGGAAAACCATGTAATGGAGACCTCTAAACAAAATTTCTTGTCATATTTCACTAAGGAGAAGAATGTGAAATGAATGGGCCTGCCCACCCACATGCTCCATTCGGCCGTGTTTGGGCCCTTTCCATTCAGCAGCTGTTCCATGGTGATGTAAAATATTAGTTGCCTTTGACCAATACAGATTTTTCCACTTATTTAATTTACATTACTAATCACATGTGAGCAAATTTTCTTTGTAGAGAGTCCTATTGGCACTAAAATAGCTACATTTTTAGGGCTGTCCAATTCACACAAAGTGTGGGTCACGCTTATGGTAAGAAAAATGTTGAAAACTGACCAAGTACCTATATTGAAGTTGGCGGAGGAGTGGGGGTGGGAACCTCATAAAGCCAGGCTCAGGTTTCCCCTGAAATCAGTTTCTATTGGTTGAGAGTAAGTCAGTCTTTGGTTAGGAACTGCTGTCAGAGTGAGCTGAGATCCTTAATTTTGGGCAATGGTGGAGGTTATATATTGTGGCCACCATGCCACATATCTGTGAATGGAGATATCTATCTCTATCTCTATCTCTATGTCTATCTCTTGCTGTCTTCTTGGTTCAGTAAAGAGGAATGTGAACTCCAGATTCTTTCATACATTTGTAAATGTGTTGTATACTTCATCTTCCTGTAAGAAGCAATATAGTCTTTATTTCTAAAAATACATTTTAAAATCTAGCCTTTGTTTCCTTATCTTTAAAACATATAAAGTGAGTATTCATTTCGCCAAAGATCGTTACACCTTCTGGGAGGTGTATTGGCATTGGAGTGTAATGGAACAGTAGACCCATTTCTCTGCAGTCAGTACTGGGTAAAGGAGCCACAATATCCCATGTACACATGATGAAATGCTCCAAAACTGAAAACAAAACCATTGTAATCTATTGGGTTGTTTCTGACTCAATGTAACCTCATGTGTTGGCCATAAAAATAGAAGTTGAGCATCTTAAAAAGCTTTCACTTCTGTGAAAGAGTTTGATATACATTGAGAAGCTGTGATGTTCAGACCTTTGCCTTTCTCAAGGGAGTGCTAGTAGTTCAGTGATAATACTTCTTGCCTTCCGTCCAGGGAGTCTGGGTTCAGTCCATGGTCAGGGAGCCTCAAGAACAGCCACCACTCATCTCTCTTTGGAGGTTTGTGTGTTGCTCTGATGCTGAATAGGTTTCATGGAATTTGTAGACTAAGTGTAGGAAAGGCTTGGCAGTCCACTTCCTTAAAGTTAGCCAGTGAAAACCCAATAATTCAGAGCCATGTAATCCTATTGTGCCATGAGTTACCGACCAACACTAACACATTTATCTAACCCTTTCTAAAGCTTGCATACAAGTGTGGTTCCATACTCATACTTGAATTTCCACTCTCTTCATTCCAGCACTTGTTTTCATTTCATGCTTTTTGTTCCATAGGTTCCAAATACTTATGCAGACCCCATTGTATTTCCTCAGGTTGCACCCTCTTCTTCTACGAGAGCGACGGCAGGTCTGGAATAGATCACAACAGCATTCCCAAGCACGCCGTGTGGGTGGAGAACAGCATTGTGCAGGCCGTGCCTGAGCACCCCAAGAAGGACTTTGTCTTCTGCCTCAGCAATTCCCTGGGGGATGCCTTCCTCTTTCAGGTTTGTTAGAAATGCTCTTGACCAACAATTTAAAACTTCTGAACTGGATATTTTGTTTCCTATCTCACCTCACTCTTTTTCCCCTTCAGTGGTAGATTTTATATTTTCCTCATTATGTTAGTTATAGAACAGAGTTCTGCACAGAAATGATGTTAGTTATAGAACAGAGTCAGGTCTTTTATGCAAAGCTTACTCTCAGTCATATTCGACTTGATGGCACTTAACCACTGCTAAATGAAACTAGTGCTGTTATATCTGGAGGAATACTCTTCCACTTTGTGCATTACCCTTTGTCAATGTGCAGTATAAAGTAACCTGGGTTTGCTGTGATGCTGAACGTTGTACCATTGGGGTATCAAATACTAGAATGGTTTCCCAATGTGCACAGTGTTTGGTGGAGCTCCCAGTTGTAAACCAGGTTTGGAAGCAGGAGTGGCATCCACTTCCTAAGCCACATGCCTCTGGAAACTAGGAACTTGGAGAAATGAAGACAGTTTTGGAAAGGCATTAGGTTTTTTGTTCATAGAGTCGCTATGAGTTGCACTCGCCTCAGTGGCAATTAATAAGTTGTTAAGTGCCGTTGAGTCATAGAGGACTCATAACAACCCTATGAACAAAAGACCTGAGCACTGTTCATAAAGTTTCCGGAGGCAAGCCATTTTGGAAGTGGACGCCACTCCTGCTTCCAACCTTATTTTAATCAGGGAGCTCCAACAAACACTGTCCACCATGGGTAACCATTATCACATTTGGCACATCAGTGTCACAGTGTTAAGCATCACAGCAACCACGAGTTACCTCTGTATAGCAACACAAATAGCAGTGCTATACCACTTAGAAGAATGTTTGACAAAAACAAACAGCAGCATTATAGAAACAAAAAAATGAGTGGTAAAGAAGGTATCTCTTTTGAATTCTAAGAGAAATCTCGGCTATTATTGTTAAAGGCTATAGAATTGACTACAGCTTTTACCTAGAGGGATCCCAGATGAAGCCATGGGAATGCTATCCTTTGCGTTTGAGTATACTGTTTGCAGGTTGGAAGAATTATTAGTGTAATATCAATATCATTGTTTTGTACTTTTAGCCAAGAGTCTTGAATTCTCTAATTTAAATACAATTTCAGCTGCCAAAAAACCTTTATAAGACTTTTTTCTTCTAGTATTGTTCGTAAAGTAATATGCCATTCTGGAATTGACTTGCCTTATACATTTTTCTTCCTCACCTTATTAAAGCTTATCACTCAGTGTTTATGAAGTTTGTAATTCCATGAGAAAACAAGCAAAGCAAGCAAACAAAACCATTCTGTGTTAATTGTTACTGGGCAGACATTTGCTCTTCCAGGCATTCATCTGAGTTTGGTCAATTGCCGTATACCCTCCTAGGACTTGCTGTGGTGTCGGGTGGAAAGTCTTCATTAAGTCCATTCGTGTATCAAGTTGTCAAGCTTTTCTTCAATGTTTCCTATGTGCTGTGCACAGTGTTACTGAGAATATGAAAAGGTTCATAACCTTTTTTTGTTGCTATTAACTGTTACTGTTTCTTCTGTAAAGTCTGTGTAATTTGTTGTGGTGGCCAGTAAAGTCTGTACTCAGTGTAGTGATTAGCTAAAGATTTGACAGAGATTTCCATACGCGTCTGGAAGCAGTAAATCTGAGCATTAAAGCATGCCTTCTGTACACGGGCAGCTAGTGTACGTACAGCTCTGCCTTACCCTTCACTTCCTGTTTCTGTGGCCCTCAGTGTCAAACGGAAGTCCGAAGTTAGGGCTTTCCCAAGATTTCCCTAGGCAGGAGCACAGGCTCATACATATGTGTGGCTTTCTAGATTCTCTGGACCACGTGTAGTCTCGGGTTATTTGACATTTGCCTTACCTTTTGCTTTGAACTGGTTCTATCATGACTAACAAAATGAAAAAGGACCAGATGTAAAGTTAAAAAATTTGACAGATTCTTCCCACCAGTCAGAATGTGAAAAATTATAGGTTGAAACAGCCATGGTATGGGATACTTGGAAGTGGTATAGTGAGCCCTTTCAGGAGTCTGATGTGTAAGGTTTTTGTTCAGCTTCTTTTAGCATCAACTCAGGTAGCTACGATGTTAAAGCTCTGTTGTTGTTTTGTGGGGAAGTGGTTTCCATTTTGGTTCCTCCCCCCATTACTTTCCCCCCAGACATCTCTAGTAAAAAACGCTATTTGCATGAAGAAGATCAGAATCAGGTCAATAAATGCAAACCCTGTGTAAAGAGCTACCATTCTGGCCTAGCAGCAAGTGTGATGAGGATGCAGTTCTCTGAGAACTCGGGATATTGCAGACAAGTGCTGTCCCTTCGCCTGCTAGACTCCTGCTTGTCACTGTCTTTGCTGAGCTCACAAGACAGAGGTGAGAATAGGCCAAGATAAAACAAAACAAAACAATCCACAAAACTCATTGCTGCTAGAGAGTGTTACTAATTTTTCTTTAATCAATGCTTTGCAGATAGTTGCAAAACTGCTTCATTTCTGAAAACATCAATTTTGACTGGCTTTTCCAGTACTCTTGTTGCTTTTATGGACAAGTGGCTTTTTAGAGGATCTTACTTTGCCTTTTCTGTTGACAGCACTCACCAGAACAGTTTACAGATGAAACGTTGCTGAGAATGACAGCAGCACAGTTAGCAATGACACCAGGATCACAGTTGTTCATTGGAGTAGTCAGAGATTGACTGGGAAGTATGACAGCCTTCCCATGGATGCGTTTAGGTTGTTCCTAGGTCTTAGCTTTTAGGGACAATGTTACAAGCACTCTTGCACCTGTTATACTTACGTGTGTTTCCATACATTTCTTGTGGGCATGTGCCTAGGCTTGGCATTGCTGGTTCATGGGATATATATACACACACACTCTTTCAGGTTTCATAGAGGGATAGTGCCAAGCAGATCCCAAAATAATTGAGCTAACATACACTCCAGTACACCAGAGTTCCAGCTGTTCCTCATCCTTGCCAACACGTGGTCTTGTCAAGACTTTTCAGCTATTAATGTTCAGTTGAGCACATTTTCATATATTTAATGACCATTTTAATACTTTCTTTTGTGAAGATTTTGTCAAACTGCAGCCAATTTTTCCTCTGGCTTCTTTCTTTTCTTAATGATTTGTTCCAGTTCTTTACAAAATTTGTGATTTCTCTGTTAATAATACTGTGTTGCTTTTGTTTTATTTTTGGTTTTCTTACTGTATGGTTTCCTTTTTACTTTCTGTGACATGTGCCTTCTTGTGGCATTGAAATTTGTAATTTTTTAAAAAAAATTTTAATTTTAGTTCAATCTCATGTGCTACATCTTACTTAATGGTAGTGTTTCTTACATCTTTTATTTATATGTATGTTCTTTTTTTTTCGATTTTAATGAACGTTTATAGAGAACTTGGATTTCCATTCACTCATTGTTGCACATTTTGCTCCTTGTCCCCCCAACCTCTCCAGTTCGCTTTTCTTTTTGGAAAAAAAAAATTCTTTCATTGTTGTATGATTCCCTGGTCCACAGCTCTTATTCTTTTGTCATGCAAGTAATACCTAATCATATATTCTTTTTAAACAGTTCCTTTCCTCATCTGTTTCAATGTAGTATACATTATCTATACCCTCTTTTCTTAGTTTCCCCCTAACCTCGAAGTCAGTCCTGTTTTATAACAATGGAAACCTAGATATTTCAGTCAGTATAATGTCCTCCACGGTCACCCATTTTCTAGAATATTTCAAGAGTTCCTTGTTTTTCAGTGCTACATAGTATTCCATTTTGTGAATATATCACAGACTTGCTATCCATTCGTTTGTTGATGGACACTTAGGATGTATCCAACTCTTTGCTGTTGTGAACAAAGCCACGGAAAACATGAGTATGCATGTATCTGCTTGGGTGGCAGTTCTGGTTTCTTTAGGGTATATTCCCAGTAGTGGAGTTGCTGAGTTGAATTTTATTTCTGTTTCCAACTTTTTGAGAAAGCACCGTACCGCCTTCCACAGTGGTTGCATCATTTTACACTCCCACCAACAGTGAATAAGGATTCCAGTTTCTCCACAACCTCGCCAGCATTTGTTTGCGGGTCTGTTGAATTTTGCTATTCTTACTGGGGTGAGATGATATCTCATAGTTGTTTTGATTTGCATTTCTCTTAGAGCTAGGGATTTTGAATAGTTCTTCATGTGTTTGTTGGCTATCTGAATGTCTTCTTTAGTGAAGTGTCTGTTCATATCCTGTGCCCATTTTTCATTCGATTTGTTTACCTTTATCTTGTGGTTCTCAAGTAGTTTATAGATTCTAGTTATAAACCCTTTATCAGACCTGTCATTACCAAATATTTTTTCCCTGTCTGTGGCTTTCCTTTTACTATATTGGAGAAGTTTTTTTGTGTTAATAGAGATATGATTTTTTAAAGATATTTTAAGTTTAATGTATTTTCTTTTAGCAGATAAAATATTGATATAAAATAGAAGAATTTCAAGTTTTCATAACATCAGTCATAATTCTTTTTAAAAATCCCCACGTATACAAGATGAAGTATATTGCTTCCATTATCACTTTCATTTTTGTTGTTGTATCAATCTTTTAATAAGTTATATAAGAAATATAAATCTTTTCCTCTTAATTGTTGATTCTAGCTCTCAGTTTCTCCCTTTTGTACACTTTCTATTCCACTTTCAAAACTTGTGAACACTCAAAGATCAGAATGTGTTTCCCCTCCCCACCCTTTTTAATAGTGATTTAATTCTTAGAAGATCCTATTTATCTATTTCATCCTCTCCTGGTTGTAGGTTATTTCTTACATCTTAGCTTACAAATTGCATGCTTTAAGGTTATTAAAATTACTCCATATTTCTTATAAAGACACCTTATATAGATTTTTATTTATTGCTTGGAAAGCTTGTGAGAAAAACGTTTGACTATTTAAAAAAGTATAATATGATTTTTACACCATCAGGTATCTTTTATTTAATCCTTATTAAAAGCCTGAGCTCTGTTT